ATTCCAATTGGAACAGTGGACGCGGTCGCAGACATGGCCGCCGACAGAGGCCTCGTTGCAATTATTGCCAGAATCTTGGGCATTTTGAAGAACGCTGCTATAGGAAGTACCCTCATTTGAAGCCACTGACTGCAAACTTTGCTCAAACTGATACTACACCACCTTCTACTGGATTAGTAACTCTTTCAAGTGCTGACTATGAGGCACTTCTCAAGAAGGTTTCTTCTCAGCATCCTACTCAAGACACTGGTAATCATGTTGCTTGTTTTTAGCAATCATCTCTTGGACCTTGGATAATAGACTCAGGTGCTACTAATCATCTTTGTGGTAATAAAGATCTCTTCACTTCACTTTCTTATTCTAATAACCTACCTTCTGTCACTCTTGCTGATGGCACTAAGGCTCTTGCTTGTGGAATTGGGGAAGCCAATCCAACTCCCTTTTTAACTTTGCGTTATGTTTATTATATACCTGGCATTCCTTTTAATTTAATCTCTGTTAGCCAGTTGATTCATTCTCTTTCATGTACTGTTACCTTCTCTAAACAATCCTTTTCTATGCAGGATTCGGGTACGGGGAAGGCGATTGGAGCGGGCATTGAGTCACGAGGTCTCTACTATCTGATTGCACCACCTTCTCCAGTAGCATGTTCTCTCACAGAGTCTCCTGAGCTAATTCACAGCCGTCTGGGTCATCCAAGCCTCTCCAAGATTCGGCATATGGTTCCCTTTTTATCCAGTCTTAAGTCTTTAAACTGTCATTCTTGTCAGCAAGGAAAGCACACTCGCTCCTCCTTTGCTAATAGAGTCAATAAAAGAGCTGATGCTCCTTTTTCTATTGTTTATTCTGATATTTGGGGTCCGAGTTGAACAATGTCTGTTTTGGGTTTTCAGTATTTTGTCACCTTTATTGATGATTTCTGTCGTTGCACTTGGGTTTATTTAATGAAAAATCGTTCTGAATTATTTTCAATTTATCAAAAAATTTGTGCCGAGATAAATACTCAATTTGGTGCTTCTATTCAAATTTTGCGCAGTGATAATGCAAAAGAATATGTGTCTCTTGAGTTTTCTAATTTTTTGGAGAAACGTGGGACGTTACACCAGACTACTTGTCCACACACTCCACAACAAAATGGAGTGGCCGAACGTAAGAATCGGCATCTGGTTGAAACTGCTCGTACCCTACTAATTCCTATGAATGTTCCACTTCGTTTTTGGGCAGATGCTATAATCACCTCTTGCTTTCTCATCAATCGCATGCCTTCTTCCGTACTCAATAACGAAGTTCCACTTAGTGTTTTATTTCCAGGAGCACCTTCCTATCCTCTACCTCCACATGTATTTGGATGTACCTGCTTTGTTCATAATCTTACTCCAGGAAAAGATAAATTAACATCCAAAGCCTTCAAGTGTATTTTCCTTGGATATACTCGTTTCCAAAAGGGGTATCGTTGCTACTCTCCTGATCTCAAGCGTTATATTGTCTCGGCTGATATCACTTTCCTTGATCAACAACCTTTTCATTCTATCCCATCTCAGATAACACAAGTTGATCAAGTTCTTCCTATTCCTTTTCTTGATTTGTCTTTACCAGTTGCAGGAGACTCTATCCCGGAGGAGCAGCCCCTTGCCTCCATCCCTGCGAACCGTCCTTTTCTCTCCTATCAGCGTCGTCAGCATGCGCCTCCAGCGGATTTGACCCTTACTGACTCACCGCCTGCTGCTGTCGACACTTCCCCTCCGGATCCTCCATCAGAGATTACTCTCATTGCCCTTCGCAAAGGTATTCGATCCACTCGTAACCCTCATCCACTTTATAGTTTCTTGAGTTATGATAGACTTTCTTCACTACATTTTACTTTTGTTTCTAGTATTTCGTCTATTTCTATTCCTAAAACCACAGTTGAAGCACTCTCTCATCCGGGTTGGCGTCAAGCAATGATTGATGAAATGCAAGCACTTCACTCCAGTGGCACATGGGATCTTGTTCATGCTACTCCTGAAAAGCCAGTTGTCGGTTGTCGGTTGTCGATGGTATTCACTGTCAAAGTTGGTCCTGATGGCACTGTTGATCGCCTCAAAGCTCGTTTGGTGGCCAAGGGATACACTCAGATATTTGGTCTTGACTATGGGGATACTTTTTCTCCTGTTGCCAAGATGGCATCTGTTCGCCTATTTCTTGCACTTGCTGCCATTCATCAATGGCCTCTTCTACAATTTGATATCAAAAATGCATTCTTACATGGTGACTTGCAAGAGGAAGTATATATGGAGCAACCACCAGGTTTTGTTGCTGAGGGGGAGAGTTCTAGCATGGTATGCAAGCTTCGTAAATCTTTATATGGCCTGAAGCAGTCTCCTCGGGCCTGGTTTAGTCGCTTCAGTTCTGCTGTTCAATCCTTCGGTTTAACCCGAAGTAAAGCGGATCATTCTGTCTTCTATCGGCATAGCTCTTCTGGCCAGCGCATCTATCTCCTGGTCTATGTTGATGACATCATTATTACTGGCAGCGATCAAGCTGGGATTGATCAGTTAAAGAAGTACTTATTCAATCAGTTTCAGACTAAAGATCTTGGCAGACTTCGATAATTCTTAGGAGTCGAAGTAGCACAGTCTAGGAAGGGCATTTCCATTTGTCAGAGGAAGTATGCACTGGATATCTTAGATGAGACCGGTATGTTGGGATGTAAACCCATTGATACACCTATGGATCCTAATATAAGTTATTACCTGGACAGGGGGAGCCAATACCTTGGTCGTTACCGCCGACTAGTTGGAAAGTTGAACTATCTTACTGTGACAAGACCAGACATCTCTTTTTCAGTTAGTGTGGCAAGTCAATTCCTTGACTCTCCTTGTGACTCCATTGGGATGCAGTTATCAGGATTCTTCGATATATCAAAAAGGCACCAGGAAGAGGTTTATTATACACTAATAAGGGGAATGCAGAAGTGTCTAGCTATTTAGATGCTGACTGGGCAGGTTCTCCTTCAGACAGACGATCCACCTCGGGGTATTGTGTTCTCCTTGGAGGAAATTTGATCTCTTGGAAGAGTAAGAAGCAAACTGTGGTTGCCAGATCAAGTGCAGAGGCAGAATATCGGGCCATGGGAAATGCGACCTGTGAGCTCATCTGGCTAAAGCAATTGCTTAAGGAATTACATCTCTGTGAACAACGGCCCATGAAACTCATTTGTGACAATCAAGCCGCATTGCACATATCCTCTAACCCAGTCTTTCATGAGAGGACTAAACATATAGAAATTGATTGTCACTTTGTTAAAGAGAAGATTAAGTCAGGCGAGATCGAGACAGCATTTGTCAATTCCAGTGATCAACTTGCAGATGTTTTCACCAAGGCTCTTAGAGGTCACCGAATAGATCATATATGTAACAAGTTGGGTGCTTATGATATATACGCACCAACTTGAGGAGGAGTGTTAGAAATAATATTAGTTTGGGTTCGAATCAGCCTCTCTGCAAAAAGCAGGGGAAAGACTGCCTAGAGTATTCCCTTCCCCAGACACTCACGAAGTGGGTATTTGAACTGGGTCGGCCCTTTTTTTTATTATTAGTTTATTATTCTAGAAGGTTATTTGGGCTTAGCCCATTAGGTCATTTAACCTCTTTAAATAGAGGACTCTTGTACAGTTTTATACAATTGAATACAATACATTCATACATTATAATTGTAAGAAAGGTGAAAAAATCTTTATTACCACAGAGATGATTGCAAGCACTAGAGTCAATTATCCACGGTTCAAGATATGGTTGAGAGATGCAAGCAATAGGATTATCAGTTCATGAGGAAGCCTTAAAGTGAAGAAAAACTTCACACTTGGCACTTGGAATAGCCATAATAAAAGCTGAGGATGTTGTTGCAAGAGCAAAGGAGGCAGGTTTATGTTTCGCTCTGTAATATTCCTCATTATGTCCCAATTTATGACAAAAAGAACAACAAGGTATGTTATGACCACAACCACTGCAGTATGAGGCAAGGTTGTAATCTCCCATTATAGTGGGTCACAGATCTGAGAAGATAGGATAAAAAACGGACCTGCAAAACACAAATAAAAAGGATGAAAAACACCAAAGAGGTTAAGAAACCCCCACAAAAGAGGACCCCCAGCCGCAATCGGTTCTGTGGCTAGACCTCTGAGGGAGGCGCATCCATGCGTGCATCTGGACAGCAATGGTTGACCAGTTCGGGTGGGAGCATCGAAGCTCTGATGGCCAGGACAGAACGAACTGCCCTAAGGAGGCAGTCCCAATCATTGAGAAGTTTGCCAAAAAGGTTGCCGGCGGCGGAGGATTGACAGTAGTCGACTACTGGATATGATTGGACGTCAACCAGACAGTGGTTGATGGCTAGGCAGTGAGCCTAGCGGAATTAGGGTTTTGCAGAAGCAGGCTTCCCCAAAACGTAAGCTCTGGTACCAACTTGAATTTAAGGGATTTTGTATCAAGTATGACCACACAAAAGCTATATTTATAATAATAAGATACATGAGTTTGGGCCCTATTTACGTGATATGGGACAAACTAACACAACTTAATATATACATTCTAACAAGTATAAACAGGGGTTGGTGCTTTGCCTTTTGTATGACATCATTACACGCCATATATCAATATAATACTCTATTATGCATAGTTTGTTCTTTCTTATCCTCTTTATCTACCATGAAAAGAATTGTCATTCTTAAAGATTCTATCCAGTACCAAATTATCAATGTCTTCTGCCCTTTAAACATGATTGACATGAGTATTAAGATTAAGTAATCCTTTCAATCAAAAATATCTTTAAAAACACAAAATACAACTAGATTAAAAGGTTCATATTCATCACACAAGCCAAAGTAGGAGCAAAAAACTAACAGCCAACTGTTTACCTGAAACAAAAATTTGGATCTGTATCCAAGTACAACAAATTGCAATGCATGCTTGACATGATAACATAGAAATAAACTAACACAGTAAGGCAAACAATGACAAAACCTGATCTCATAGTAGTTTCTATGAGGAGGTCCCTTTTGCCGCAGGTCATCCATAACCGAAAAGTAAGAATAGAAACAAACATCTTTTACATCCCTGACAACCATGCAGCTCCTTTCAATAGTGCTCCATGTACCATCCTGAAGATTTAATATGAAACTTTATGTAATGAATAACAACAGGATTACAGAAACAACAAGCATTTTAACAACAAAAATTAAAACATACAATAAAACAGTGGAAAAGTTTGTCATCTTTTCCTTCCTCTACAGCTTCAAAAGTAGCAAATATTGGTGAAAGATATCCATAGGCTGCTCCACCTACAATACTTCCAACAATACCAATCATCGGCCATGAAATCAACAGCACCGGTAGTACAGATATGCAGATAACAAGCTTCAGAATAGGCCCTAATTGTTTAGCTCTGTCCGTTAGGGAAATCACTATGAGAATGTAATTACAAGTTTATGATAAATGGATAGATCAATGAGCAAAAACTTGAAAGAGTGGCAGTCAAGGAAAGCACCTCACGACGCAGTAATATGTCCAAACAACATGTGCTACCCAAAGTCCAAGTATGATAGCAGAGTTCCCAATTGTCATTATTAAGCATATCAATGGGCAGAAAAAGAAACCTGAAGTGATTGGGCAGTTTGAGCAATAGTAAGTAAGGTACACAACATACTCCTAACACAGAATCCTACATTTAAATTCTATTCTAGTGTAGTAAGCATGACATACAAGCAGCTATTACATATTCCACAGAGAAAAATAAAGCAAGCATACAAGCTGTTTAAATTCCTTCGTTTGCCTAGGATATGCCAAAGTTGACCCTAAACTATTATATACTTGTTTGTCAATCAAATAGATTCCTTTTTTCTTCTAAGTTTGAAAATTGTGTTTTTATAATATTATATCTTGTGCTCATTCAACAAACCTATAAGATTAATCAGAAACAAAGCATTCAATTTTTTTATATTTTCCCCTTATTTATAATATAAGATAATCAAAACATCATTCAAGACTCCCACAAATTTAATAAAAATGAGTAATTTGTCAACTAATTTATGTCAAAAAGGAACACGTGTAAACAACACACCAAACTCCACTTGATGTCTCCACCACTGGTTTTGTTTGAATCTCATTATACACGATTATTTCCATGTATGGGTGGGGTTATTTTCATGTTTGAGAGATTTTGACTAGTCATATTCATTCTGTATTTATGGTGTAGATATCATTAACCCTTAATGTAAGAACCAATTCAACCCAAAAGCTTAAGCTGTTGGATAAGGCTACATTAATGATTTTATATATCTCCAACATGCCCCTTTACATGAGAGCCCACTGGGCTTAAAGGGTGGACAATGCAAAGGCCCACCTACCTATGCTAAGAAACTCCACAAAACTTGACTAATTATTAATTAAATGAGCTGCAGTGAGGGTCGAACCCGTGACAACCAAACTTTGATACCATGTAAAGAACCAATTCAACCCAAAAGCTTTAAGCTGTTGGGTAAGGCTACATTAATGATTTTATATATCTCCAACACTTAATTATAGGGACAGAAAGTAGTTTAGAAGTTCCTCTTTTGGTCTCATCTTGTATCCTATTTAAAGTGTAATTCTTATTCCAATGTAAATATGAAAAACACAGATTACTACATGGTATCCACGCTCTAAAATCCTTGGGAATCTGATAGGCATATACATGTAAGTATATATAGATATATGTAAGTTGAGTAACAGAGGATTATTGGAGTATGACAAGTTTGTTAGTTAGATATTCTAGAAGAATTGCTGAGGTGGCAAGGTTGTTAGAAGGAATAAAAGGGGTGTAGAGGTGTGGAGAAGGGGGATTGGAATTTGGGACTTCTTGGGCTGGGAAACCAGATTGGGAGAGAATCAGCACCTCTCGAATGTGTTGAATTGTATCTTTCTTTCTTTACATTTTCTGTCTTCGTATATGATAGGAAAACCTCCATTGTAGTAACTTGAGTCTTTGTTATTTTCATTACTATTGCTTGTAATTTCAGCTTATCAATATATAGAAAATCCAGAAGGTGTTCCTCCTGGGCCAAAATACTCTGTCTTATTAGTTATTTTGCTGCATCTCTAATCTAGTCCTATCAATTGGTATCAGAGCACTCCGATCCGGGTGCTTTGAACCTAGTTATTAAAAAAAAAAAATGGAAAACAGATTTGAGAGTTTGGAGAAGATGAGAAAAGCGGAGGAGACCCACATAGAGATAATGAGGCTCCTCGATGAGATTTTACAGAACGTTTCTAAACTAAATAGGGGTTCGCGAGGAAGACGATCCGAGCGGCAACAGGGAGATCCAATCTGTAGGAATGATGGAGAACTTTATGGTTCTATGGTTTGTGAGAACAAATTGGAGTTACCAGAGTTTGAAGGAGAAGAAGCCTATGGATGGCTAACCAAGGTTGTGCAGTACTTTGAAACGTTTGAAATACCTGAAACAGAGAGGCTTCCTCGAGTTGCGAAATTGATGAAAGGTCAAGCTAGTGCTTGGTGGTGGTGCTGGAGCGGGATATATGTGAGTGCCTCTTGGTGGGAATTTGTTACGGCGCTACTAAAACGATTTCAACCAGATTTTAGTAGTTGCCATGAGGAAGTAGGAGCAGAACCGTCAAAAACTGAATCGAAGATGGAAAAAAATCCTGAAATGTGGAAGACGATGATGAAGGAAACGATGGACAACACGAAGGCAACACAAACAGCAACAGGGGCTAACATGCGAACAAATCCTAATTTGCGTGTCACCTCAGGCGAAAATTTGAAAAGTAGCTTGAAGGTGGACGTCGTGGAAAGCTATCGAACGAAGCGGTTGCACAAATCACCTACGTTGACGGAGAAGAAGACGAAGGAGACGAGTGTGTTGGCGATGAGAAACGTGGCTGGGGTCCAAGATGGGTTTGGGGTTGGGTGGAGTGGGCTTAATCAAACAGCCCAGCCAATTCGAAACAATCAGGGCTCAGCTTCTGCAGGTCACGTGACCCACTTAAATCATACAACCAGAAATGACGCATGTGTCCCTACTAATGCTGTGGAGAAATACACACGTGGAAACGCTTCAGGAAGTGTCAGTTTGGGGGGAAATGCTGGCCTTACACGAACCCTAACAAGTTCAACCAACATTAATCAAAAGATGGCTAAGAGTGGGGTGTCAGGAAGCGGAAATCCAGAAGGGCGAAGGCTCTTTCATTTCTGCAAGGTGGGGCAGCTTCAAATTTTGTTAGTGGAAGAAGACGATGAGGGGGGCAACGTAGGGGTTGAGGACGTTCCAAGCGAAGTGGAAAAAGTAGGTGAAGAGCTTATGAACAAAGTCTTGGCTGTGTAGGTGCCGGTGACAACACAGCCACCGGCGGTGGTATTCAACCTTCCACCATTGCCTAAACGACCAGATGCAAACCTTCAAGGGGAAGGAGGGGAGTACTTATTGCACCACTGCAGTCATTGGACTCCACAATACACATGTGAGAGGATGTAAAACAAGCAAATTAGGTTAGAGGAGGTGTTGCACAATTTGGGCCAAGCTGCTGACCCAATGAATAAAGCCCAATTGAATATTAAAACACCTTTAACCCAATCCAATGATATAAGTTTTTTATATGGTTGGGCTTTTCAGCTTGATAGGGAATTGAAGACGGGAAACCATGTGGTTCTTTTATCTGCTTTGGTAGACATGGGGTTCAAGCTTCATTTGTACATGCAAGAGCAAGGGATGCAGGTAAGTATTATAAATATGGATAAAATGAGGTTGTTTGCAGAATCAGTTTGCAGTGGATACATTAATGGAGAGCTGTCAATTTATAATAGATGCATTCTTGATTCACCAGTCTATTATGATGTAGAAGCCAACCTACTGCATTTTTTAATTGAGAAGGAAATTAATGATAAAATACTTGGCATTCTGGCTTGTGACCGCAAAGATGCAGAGGTTGTTTTGGACACTGCCAGTGGAGCGCTTGATCAGTATGATTTCAATTCAATTAGATCAGATTGCAATTTTCCAATGTTTTCTGTGACTAAAGAGAAATATCCAGATTCAGCATCAGAAATTATCTATAAGTTGGCTGTTTGTACTCGGTATGGAGGAATTATTTTCAAAACACTTGCAAATGTTACTGGTACAGTTCATACTTTTATTACCATAGCTGAAGAGGCATGTACCATTTATCCCAAAGAAAGGGAAAGTTGGAGGGATGCTGCCAAGATTAAAATGGGCCAAGGTGTTCACGAGGGAAGTTCTTTTGTTTCTTGCATAAATTGGCTCCTACATTTTCAATTGTGGGATCTTGGAGGAGATCATCAACATGCGCTGCAAATAAGTTGGCCCTTGCATTTCAAGCAATAGGACCCTGGCATAAGACTCTTGATGGCTAAACCTCACCTTGAGGGCATGGTGAGTGTTTTGGGGGGGAGTATTGATAGGAATATACATGTAAGTATATATAGATATATGTAAGTTGAGTAACAGAGGATTATTGGAGTATGACAAGTTTGTTAGTTAGTATATTCTAGAAGAATTGCTGAGGTGACAAGGTTGTTAGAAGGAATAAAAGGGGTGTAGAGGTGTGGAGAAGGGGGATTGGAATTTGGGACTTCTAGGGCTGGGAAACTATATTGGGAGAGAATCAACACCTCTCGAATGTGTTGAATTGTATCTTTCTTTCTTTACATTTTCTGTCTTCGTATATGATAGGAAAACCTCCATTGTAGTAACTTGAGTCTTTGTTATTTTCATTACTATTGCTTGTAATTTCAGCTTATCAATATATAGAAAATCCAGAAGGTGTTCCTCCTGGGCCAAAATACTCTGTCTTATTAGTTATTTTGCTGCATCTCTGATCTAGTCCTATCAGAATCCATATAATTTTGCGGGCTGCATTGCCACACATTTTTCTTCTGTGTAAACCAATTTTATTGGCAGCATTGCTGATTTCCTCTCTTTAAACACCCTCTAAGCTTTCAATTCCAACCCAGAATTCCTTTGAATGTCAGAAACCTCCAATACCTCAGCCACTTCTGAGTGCAGAATATCCAACTGGGTCTGTATCTCAAAGGAAAAAAAACTACCTAAAATGGTCTCATTTCATCTGAAATTCTTTCTAAAAGGGAAGGGCAAATTGAACCACCTTGGAAAAGCCCTGACATCTGCAGATCTGAATTTTCTGCAAGGGATGAAGAAGTGGTTGTAATGTCATGGTTGTGTAACTCTATGGTACCAGAGGTGAGTGATGCTTGTATATTTATGAAACAGCCAAGGATGTGTGGGATAGTTGTAAACAGAACTACGACAAGGTTTGCGATGCTGCTCAAACAGATGAAATTAAGATGAGGATTTCCAAAACAAAATGCGAGGGCTCATTGGTTAGTGAATATGTCCAGATTTTGCAGCATCTGTGGTAGGAGTTAGACCATTATGAGCACCTCGAAATTCAAAGTGCAATGAAGATGCTGTTTTATTTGAGTGTTATAAGGAGAAGGACAGGATCTTAAGTTCCTGGTAGGACCGAGATTGAATAGGTGCAGTAAAAGGAAATTCTTCCAAACTATCTACAGAACTTAATAGGGATGAGATTGAAAAGCCAAGGAAGTTACTGGGCACCTAATAGAAACCCACAGAAACAGGTTTCGCCTCAGCATTCTCAGGTAACGTCTCCCAATCCTCTGTACTCAGTGTTTTAAATTCTCCAGAACAAGGAACATGAGTTATAGATTCTAGAGCTATGGACCATTTGAAACAGTTTTCTACTGGATTTGTGTCCTATAGGCCTTGCCCTAGCAACAAGAAAATTACAATTGCAGATGGAATTTATTACAATTGCTGGAAAAGGAGATGTTATAAATTAGAATTATATTCTTAAAGATGTCCTGCATGTACCAAAATTATCTGCTAATTTGGTTTGTATTCACAAACTTACAAATGATTTAAGTTTCCTTATAATCTATTCTCCTAAACTCTGCATATTTCAGGATCAAGGAACAGGGAAGATGATAGGACTTGCTAGGGTGGAATATGGGTTCTACCTGCTTGACAAAGGTAGCAGATCAAGTAGCACTACGAGTCAGATTCTGATGCCATTGCTGTCTGAGTCATTTCTCTCCAACAATAAAGAATCTGAATATATCATTTATGTTCAGCTCATCCTTCTTTCAGTACCCTTAAAGTCATGTTCCCTAGTTTATTTCAAGCAGTTGATGTAGGAATATTTCATTGTGATACTGGTGAACTTGCCACACACATACGTGTTCCATTTCTCATAAGTAATAAAAGAATGTCAGTTCCTTTTGCTTTAGTTCACAATGACATTTGAGGACCATCTAATATTCCGAATATATCTGGGACCGATTGGATTGTCATATTTATTGATGATTGTATTAGGTATCATCGGTGTTTCTCTTAAAACAAAAAGCTGATGTTAGCTCAACTTTTCAGCACTTCTTTCTGGCAATCAAAAATCAGTTTGAGACAGACAAATTGAATCCATTCTGATAATACAAAGAATTATTTTAACCAAACACTGTTTCCCTTCTTAAACGAAAAAGGAGTCATTCATGAATCCTCTTCTGTTAGCACTCCACAAGATAGGTTGGCAAAACAAAAAATTGGGCATCTCCTAGCTGTTACCGAGCCTCTCTTCCAAGAAAATGTCCCAGAACAGTACTGGGGAAAAACTCGAAACCTATTTGGTTAATCAGTCATCCTCATGGACTGTTGACAACAACAGCCCCATACAACTGTTTTCCAAATTCTACCCTGAATTCAATGCATCAAATAACCTTATCCCTAGGATCTTTGGGTGTGTGCCAATCGTTCATGTTCAATATCATAATCATGGGAAACTTGAGCCTTAGGCTATCAAATGTATTTTTGTTGATTACTCATCTACCCATAAGGTGTACAAGTGTTGTAATCCCCACACTAAAAAATTCTGTCTCCACTGATTTCACATTTGCTGAAACACCGAGATTCTTTTTCCAACCTTATCTTCAAGGGGAGATTTCATGTATGGAAGGTGACAATATGTTCTAACTTGAGAATCCTTCACTAAGAAATCCTTCATTCCCATCCTTATAATAGGTTTCTCCAAATGGGTCCAAAATACCTGAGTCACACTGCATACAAAAACAATGGATGACCAAACTCAAAGTGCTACTCATCGGCTCATCCACTGCAGGTATACTCATGGAGGAAAGAACCTGTTATTCAAGAAATACTAGTTGTTGATTCTGAACTCCAGAGATTGATGAAACGGTAACTAAGGCTGATGAAGCAGTTTGATTTGAGCAAAGTGTGCCCATTGAAGATGGCAATCTTCCAATTGCAATAAGGAAGGATGTTGGACAATGTACTCAAAGGCCAAGGTATCCATATGAAAAAATGTCCAATAATCACAGAAGTTTCCTCACTCACCCAAACACTATCACTATCCTAAAAACTGCTGGCGAAGCATTGGATAACAAAGAATGAGAGAAGCGATGAAGGTAGAAATGGATGCACAAGAAAAGAACAAAACTTGGGACTTGGTAGAACTACCTAGAGGAAAGAAATGTGTAGGATGTAAGGGGGTTACATAGTTAAATATAAGACAGATGGGACAATAGAAAGATATAAGGCAAGGTTAGTGGCTAAGGAATACACCCAAACTTATGGTATGGACTACCTTAAAACTTTTTCCCTCGTTGCACAAATGAATCCTGTTAGAATTTTGTTATCCATAGCAGCTAACTATGAAAAATGGTTTCCTACATGGCAACCTTGAAGATGGGATTCGCATATGTATAGAAATAGTCTCCAAGGACCTGGTTTGATAGATTTGCTTCAGTTATGAAGGCTATGGGTTACAAATAAAGCCAATGTGATCACACATTGTTCATCAAACATTCAACTTGAGGGGGAGTTACAACACTAAGAGTCTGTGTGGATGATATAGTTGTAACAGGAAATGATCTAGAAGAAATGGAAGCTATAAGCTAATGCCTACTAAGAGATTTTAAGATTAAGAAACTAGGCAAATTAAATACTTCCTTGGCATTGAAATGGCTCATTCTCGTCACAGTATTTTCATCTCTCAACAACAGTATGTGCTAGATTTAATGTCTGAAACTAATAAATTGAGGTGTAAACCAGCTGAAACACCCATTGAGCATGACATACTAAGTGAAACAGCCAAAGATGCAACTGTTTATAGGGAATCTTACCAAAGACTGATTGGAAAACTAATCTATTTGTCCTATACTGCCCAGACATAGACTATGCAGTGGGGATTGTAAGTCAATTCATGCACAATTCCAAAGAAACTCATCTTTGAGCTGTCTACTGCATTTTGCAGCACTTGAAAGGAAACCCTGGAAAAGGAATCATATTTACAACAGGGAAGGCGACAACTTTGGAGGCATACACTGACAGAGACTATGCTGGATCTATTGATGATAGAAGATTTACCTCTGGATATTGCACTTTCCTAGAAGAAAACTTAGAAACTTGGTGGAATGAAAAACAGAATATAGTTGCCAGTTCAAATCACAGTGGACATAAGGATTGAATGGGGTTTAGGACTTCCTGTTTTTTGGCTCAGCTTGTATCCTATTTAAACTGTGCTTCTTCTTCCAACGTAAATATCAAAAACACAGATTGCTGACAGGTTTAGGAAGAAAAAAAAAAGGCCTAATAAATTTCACAGCAAAATCAAAGATTTATTAACGAATTATAATTAAGAGAAAAAAGGCAAAGATGGTCCATTTGTATTGCATTTTCTAAAATAATAGCTTAGAAATTAATACTACTTTTCAACATCAACTCGCGAATTCCCAAGAAACTCAAAACCAAAAAGAATCACAAAGAACACAGAACAGAGCCATTATCATTCACCTTTGATGCTGCCAAGAAGCAGAAGTCCAATGAAGAAAGGAAGAAATCGGAAAAAGCTGCTCAATGAAGCACAAAATCCTGTAGGAGGTTCCATTCACCCCAGATCTCTGCAAAAGAACACTACAAACTCATCATGCTTTAAGCTCAACAAATCCTTGCCCTCAAGTAGAAAAGATCCAAACTTTGACCACTTTAATCATCACTAAGAAAATAAAAAGGTTGAAAACCAAATACCCAGAAGCTAAAAACCAGTTTTTCGCAAGCACATGAGATAAACTTACACACAAACTCAAAATTGCTCTTCAGTCTGCTCCTAATGGCCACACATATAGAAAAACGACAAGTGAGTCTCACAGAATCTCCATGTTCTTCGTTTCTCCAACTACACAGCTTAAAAAATTGAATTTCCTTGAAAAGGGTACAGAGAATTGTACTTTACTGGGACTATTGAAACACTTGTTGAACCTTAAAAATCACACAAATATGAATGAAGCAGCGTATATCATAGAAAAAATTGTCAGCATCACAAAATGCTTAGCCAAATCCTCATATCTCCAATTCATTCCCACCTTTCACCTGCTTCTTCAGGATATTTGGCATATATTCTTAATCTTTTGTGCTTAGACTAGAAGCAAAAGCAAATTCGGGTTCTGGATGTGCTTTTAGGTAACACATTTTGAGGTGGGATTAGTTTTTTTAACGAGAGGGGGACCCATTTTTTAAATGGAACTGAAGAGGTACAGTTAAAATTTGCATAAAAAATAAGGCTTTATTAATCTTATGTTGTAGGAGAGAAGTTCTCTCCTAGAGACAATCATGGGTGGGGTTCACTCATTTATAAAAAATAAAAAAATGAAAATTAAACTATACGGAAATCAATGAGTGTGTAAGAAAGAGTGTTATCTTATACTGTATAAGAATAATATTTCCCTAAAAAATAACAATTGTGATTGAAAGTTGTTGAAGAAATAAAATAAAATAAAATAAATAAAACGTGTGGATTTTATTTTTTTTTGTAATACAAACGTGTGGATTTTTTACTAAAAAAAAGATGGGATTTCTATTTTTCCTATCATGGGGAAATAGATTGATTTTTTGCGTTCACATAAAAATAAGTGATATTTATTTATTTTTTTCCTCTCTTCTCTTAATACTCTATCCATTTTCATGTGAGTGAATAAGATAAAATTATCTCCCGAAAAAACATTATTCTCTTAAAATGAATTTGTTGAGACATTTTAATATTTTTTTACATTTAATTTACGAGGAAGGTTATACTTATAATTCATTTTCGTTTACATTCTCTTACAATCATATTTTAACCGTTGATTTTCATCAATCAAAGATTATCATTTATTGAGAATTAATAATTAATGAGTTAGATTTGTGAAAATAATAAATGTTAATTGATGAAAATCAACGTTTAAAATATGGTTGTCAGAGGTTGTAAATGAAAATATACTATAAATATAACATTTCTCTTAATTTATTGCCTTCTAATCACATCCCACTTGAAAAATTACGTATGTAATCATGAATTTGGCAATAAGCCACTTCGTATGATCAACTTCAACATATATTTTGTCACATTTAGCCTTTTCAATAGTCTCTATTTCATTCTATTCACTTTCATTTATTTTGTCCTCCATTAAGGATGGGCATGGGTCGAACCGAACTGGATTTTTTACATAACCAAACCAAACCATTTTAATTCGGTTCGGTTCAAAGAATTGAACCTTTTTTTTTATTTGAACTGGTTGAATTTGGTTCAGAATTGGTTAGAAACCGGTTCGGAACCGGTTCTACCCAAACCAGTATCTCGACATCTCAACGAAATTTAATTCCAGGAAAGCCCTCTTCTCAAAACAAAGCGTTCAAACAATGAAGAAAAACTAAAAAAAAAAGGGAGCGTGCTCTGAAACTTGGTGTCAACTAGAGAATAAGATCGATCATCTGAAATTTGGTAAATTTGGTGAATTCGTTCGATCGCTTGCGTTTTCCGTCGAAAGCAGAATTATTAGTTTTCGACCTCGAGAACCCAAAATTGGGTTCAGATCTCATACCAACAAGTGACTTCCCATTCGGATCCGTCATCGGTGATGGGAGTTGGAGCGTCTAGGCCATGAAGCTCCGACATGGGCCTCAAGGTGCTGCCACAGAGCGTCTCAATCGCTGCCTGGCACAAGTGGCAGTTTCCGGTCAACAAAAGCCCCATGGTGCCGTTCACAAGGTTCATAGATTGAAACAGAGCTGCATAGGAAAAACATTTCTTGAAAAGATTTCATGGAAAGAGAGTTAAAAACTGATTTACTGAGATACTGTGATATATTTGTTTTCATGATTAAGGTTTTCGTTAAAAAATTTCTTACTTGGAAGTCTCTGTTTGTTGGCTTATTCATAGTGTAGATTGAAGAGTAGTGAAAAACTGATTTACTGAGGTAGTGTGATATAATACGTAATTGGTTCGGTTCAACCGGTTACAAACCAGTTTTAAATTGGATCATTACTGAATTGTTTTAAAAATTTAAAAGCGGTTCCAGTTCAAGATCTGTTTTAAAAAACCAGTTTTTTTGGTTCAATTCAATGTGGTTCTTAAAACAATTCAGTTTTTCTGGATATTTTGAACATCTCTGTCTTCCATCCGCGTGAGATCATCTTCTTCTTTGCCGAATGTGATTTGACTAGAAATTGCTGGAGGTGGAAGTGCATGTGAGAAGATATATCTATCTTTGTTTTCAAAATATAGTTCACTATTTATACTTATTAATTGAATCGGAGGAGATGAAGGCTCTCCAAAGTCTACTTCGGCATACAACTCAATGAATTTTCTGTGAGACTGATTCATGGAGATAATGACTATGATTATTAGAAAATTATACTACAGGGGAGAGGATTATATATAAGGGAATGGGTGAGTGAATTAAGGTACTGAGGTAGGGAAATTATATAGGAAAAGAGGGAAGGGGCTGGGTGGGATGAATGGACGTGTTTGAAAATTAAAAATGCTATATTTATCACATAAGGAGGTCGTGGTCATGCATTCGTATAGACTAAAACAATTTTTGTTCATGTAAAAAAACATACACATGTATACAAATGGATCTTGCTTAATAAAATTCGTATAGTATCATGCAATTATTTATTGAAGTCATGCAGAAAATCACCCGAAGACATAAAGTTCATGCCTTCATTCTGTAACACCTCGTAGTACTCCTTGTTGACATCATGATATTACAGCGTACACAACGGAAGATTTGACTAAATAATTAAAGAAACGTCGTGTGAAAATACGAATAAACTTTTTCCAAAATATTTTATGAAAACATTTCTAAAAACATTCACATGAGATATTACGAAAGCGTAAATCTAAAATATACAACTACTAATTAATCTCATTAGCCAGTATTAGTGGCCATTGATTAGACGGATATGACAACAAGTGTCATTCCTGTCAGAGTCTCACGGACAGCATAACGGCTGTTTAACGGATAACTGGGAGATAAGAATCTCACACACAATCACATCTGATAATCATAGTTACATAACAGATAGCTTGCAATCCTCATATAGGGTCAATACATACATAATGGCTCCATGCCCAAATTAACAAATCCATACATCATGTCTATATGTCTTCATCACATGCATCTAACATAACTTGTAACAACTATAACCATAATCCAGAAGCCCAATTAATAATAATCCTGAGCATTATTACATACATCAACATAGTCTCAAAATAAACTAACTAGGCATGTCAAACACTACACATGCCACATAACAGCATAATAGCATAAAATAAACAGCAGCCTCAATCCACTAATCCATAGTTGGGCCCTTGCCCTTAGATTGCACACTGCTACCTGGGGTACCTGAAATGATGTCCCCAAAAAAGGGTGAGATAACAACATCTCAGTAAGCTCAAGGTTCTTAGAGGATCCTCTAATCCCCTGAGCCCACTTTCTGCATGACAAGTCAGATATAAAGCATATATAACAAACATACAGAATAAACATAGCATCATACTTCATCCTCTGGCTAACTATTCAAGGGCTTTCCCCAAGAATAGTTAACTGACAAGTCCAACATGCCTAGTGTGACTCCAGGGTCAAGCCATAGACAGTCAACACAAACCGTAGTATGAAATAACTCCCAGGGTCAAGCCATAGGTAGCCTACATACATATTCACTGGCCAGGAACCTCATCACATACATTATCAGTGCATCATCAAAACATTAAGAATCATATAATATCTATATGAATGTGAATGAATGCACATATACCACATATCACATACTTTCATACAATTCAACCATAATGTCCACATCATGGTGGGGCCACAAGAGAGAAGAACAACCATAACCAGGAGCTTACCTCAAGGAGCTTAGCACAAGCCAACACTCCACTATAATACGTATGCTCCAATACAATCCTCAAGTGCAAGGTTCTCTAGGCACACCTAGAGTAGAAACTATTCACATCATTAATTACATAGTAATTAATCAAGTCATGAACAAGACTTAATCATTTAATGATTCCACTTTCCATACTCATATGCCAATAATATGTCCATTACAAGTCTAGACCATTCATTATCAATATATGTCATTCATAACCGTGAACATTAATTATTATAAGTTACTAAGGGGTTCCCATAAATCCACTTAGCCTAAATCTCACTTTTACGGTTTTCCTATAACTGTACACGCTTCTGTTTTTTAGTCACTGTGCACAACCCACTTGTTATAACATTCTCATATTTTAGTATGTTAATCTAGACTCAATTACCTTTCCAAAAAGGTATCATATGCCTCATTTGGAGTTCTCTATCTCCGGTTATCACCGTTTGAAGTTGGACAAGAAAAACTGCCTGCCAACTCCAAACAGAGCCCCAAACATCCCTCACCATTTCTGCGATTCTGGAAAATCTACTAAACCAATTGCTCTCAAAGTTTTATACAGAAAACTAGACACCTTCAAGTTTAATTTTATAGATCATGAGCCTAATTTGAGTAAGAGCTGAGGGAGAAATAATTCGTGGAAGATGCAGACACGTACAGCCCCTGCACATGGCCTCCCTGGGCAGTCTCCACTCAATCGGACCTACAAAATGCTACACATCTTCAAATGATACCAAAATTTTGACACAATATAGCTGACATCTCAAGCTTAAAAATGATGTATGGAATATACCTATTGGACCTCTATGGAGGGAGATATGCTCTCCCAAAGTTAGCCTAAAAACTGGTCATTTAACTAAAGTGTGTTTAATTAGCAAATCCTAATTATCATTGATTAAAAACCCTATGTTACTTTAATTTTAGGGTTTTTATATTATTAGGTCACTTATGCATTCATACACATTCACCTTAGGTCTTAGTTTATTAAGTTCCCTAATTACCTGATTAGTGCTTCTAAACCCTAATTAGGTCCATTTTTAGGGTTTTAATAATTAATTAATACACTATGCATGGTCCACTTCACTTAAACCCTAGATTAGTGTCCTAATTATGTCTTGAACCAATATTTAACAAATTAATCCTACTTCATCCTTAGGTGGCCGAATTGCTTAGGTTATACAAACTAAGTTTTTAACTTGTTAATTTTA